TGAGCCTGTCGTACCTCTGGAGTTCTCCCAAAAGCCAACCCATCACATTTATGTAATGGTAATATGAGATCTCATTTATTACTGCTGGATCGAGGAAGCCTTGAGAAAACACACTCTGTCTGTTGTATTTATCATTACCTCATTGATGAAAAGGTGAAGTAGGGCTGCRCGATATATGCGGTAGACAGTAGAAACGGTATGAAGTTGGCCTACGGTAGAAATTTACCATATACCATCATATCATCATTAYGTCATCGGACCTGTGTCAACAGGGCTGCGAGTGCAGAGACAACTGAGCAGCAGGAGTTYGAAATATAATGAAGAAATTCTAGCGCTTTAAAACATGTACAGTATAGAGAGGATAAATCCTCAAAATGTCCCACTCCCGCTGTAGGAAAAGTTACGCTGTGTATCTCTTCCTCCCTCTCCTCTCCTCTCACTGCACGTCGCGCTTTAACGCGCTCCTAAGCTTCAACAACTGTAGTTTTTCCACACCGAATTGTTGGAGAAAAAACTTGTTTTTTAAAGAAATGTTACTCACAGAGGTGATTAAAAAAAAGTCGTGGACATTAGTTCAGCCAGAAATCCATTTTACTAATGTAAAGTCGGCTTCTGCTCTGATGATGAAGATGAAGATGAGCGCGCAGCAGAGCAGTAGATAACAGACAGAAGCTCATTGTTTGGCAGGCAGATATTAAAGCAAAAATACTGGGTTTGATTAAGATTACAGTTCTCTGCAAAAAAATGCTCTAAAAATGACATTATCTTTACTTTAATGATAATTTTTTCTACTGCGATATATACCGTTACCGAGAAGGGGTACAGTTTATACCGTGATATGAATTTGAGGTCATACCACCCAGCCCTAGACTGAAKGTAAGTGGAAGGTGTTTTGCACCCGAATAATGTTTCTATCAGAAGAGTGGATGTCAATTTTTCTATTTATCTTGGATGTTCTTACCTAGACGATGTTCTGGATAAAATGGCCATTTTTTTCCTTTTTTAGACAGATCTCCTGTGACTCATTATATTAATGAGAGAAGATCCAAGACTTTATGCGATTTATTAGTTGTAGCTTAAACTTTCAGAGTTCCATGTTGGWGGATCAAGTTAATTCAGTTCTTAAAGGTCATTTTAACTTTGGGAATGTGACCTGATCTGACCAATCTGTTCTCCACCTGCTGATATGCTCTTCTTAGCAGCTTTTACATTGACATTTTTTTCTTTTTCTGCTAGTTGAAAACACTTTTTAGTAGGGGTGCACTGTGCTGATTTCCTCATTTTGAATTTGAAGCCTGCAACACATTCCAAAAAAGCTAGGACAGGGACATGTTTACCTCTGTGTTTCATCACCTTTCCTTTAACAACACTCAGTAAGTGTTTGTGAACTGAGGATAATAATTGTTGAAGCTTTGTAGGTGGAATTCTTTCCTATTTGTGCCTGATGTACAACTTCAGTTGCTCARCAGTCCAGGGTCTCAGTGCTCCACACATTTTCAATGGGAGCCAGGTCTGGACTGCAGGCAGGCCAGTCTRTGAAGCCACACTGTGGTAACATGTACAGAATGTGTCTTGGCATTGTCTTGCTGAAATAAGCAGGGATGTTCCTGTAAAAGACGTGGCTTGGATGGCAGCATACGTTGCTCCAAAACCTCTATGTAGCTTTCAGTATTATTGGTGTCTTCACAGATATGCAAGTTACCCATGCCACGGGCACTAATACKCCCCCATACCATCAGAGAGGCTGGCTTTTCATCTCTGCGCTAACAATCCTGACAGTCCTTTTCCTTTTTGGCTTGGAGGACACACCGTCCATGATTTCCAAAACACTTTGAAACGTGAGCTCGTCAGACCACAAGACACTTTTCCACTTTACGGCAGTCCATCTCCAATGAGCTCAGGTCCAGAGAAGCCTATAGCATTTTGTTAATATACTGTTTTCACGAAGAATAAAAGATACCAATGAKATTATGATGTCAGCTTGTAATTAAAACATATATTTATTATCATACTGTAGATGCCTTATTATGTGGCAAAGTGGAGGCATGTAGCGGGATGTAAACATTTTTTCAGCAAAGTGCCAGCTTTTTTCCTTTTAATATGAAGCCATTAGTTGCTTGGCCATTATTTAGTCTAATTTTAGTCTAGATGTTTTTTTTTTTCAACTCAAAAGTAATCACCTACAATAAAATCTAGCTAAATGTCTATACAAATCCAGCATAAAAGGGTTAGTAACCCCACTTTTTTATAAACATATGTGCTGTATATGTTGTGCTACTAAATAGWGTGTACATACAGTGTTTTGATAATAACCGATACTTTTTATAGTARCAGACCTGTATCAAACTAATACATTGAAACCATGGTGCTTTCTGTCACGTGATTACTTTCATTTAGAATTTTTATGTACTGTTACACAACAGTATTTATTTTTTGCCAAGTTTACGTTTTGTTATGATGAGGTTCCACCTCTTACCGTCTGTTGTCACCCTTTGACTTGCACAGCTTTTCATTGCCAAGTTTTTTTTTTCATTAATCACAATAATGATGAACTATATGTAGCTGTGTCAATATTATAAATCAAAATGTAGGGAGTTTTAGATTTCAACAAATGGATTTATTTAAATCACAAACCCAGTCTCATGTTCCCACTTTATCACGAGCAGATTAAAACTTTCTTCTGTCTTGTGCAAAAAAAAAATGTAATCAGAACAAATCTTTCCAGTAAAATTGGTTTTAGTTCATATGTCAGGATGATCAGTTTATCATGTGAAGGATTTGTCAGCAGTGCCTACGCAGGATCATCATGATTGGCCAAAACACAGATTAAGCAGAAAAAAGTCAAGTTCATTTATCAAACACACTCATAGACTCAGTCTGTAGAAAAAGAAAAACCCAGTATAATTACATTTCTGTCTCACAAGCCTCCCTGTGGATTTCCTTCTAGGTCTGAATCTTCCAGCAGACCTGTCGATGTTAATGTTATAACTAATAAAAGATTGGTCTTATGGGTATATATTTGAAGAAAGTTAGTAATTTGTAAACCTCTTCTGCTGTTGGAGCTGTATTAATGCTGTCATGTAGTGTCAAAAAGAAAAGGAATACTCAGGTGATGATGGTTTTTAATCTATAAAAACTTCAAATCTTTCAGTCTGAAAATAAGTTAGATGACATGTTTTAAAAGTTACCTGGAACTCTACTGATGGTTCATTTTTAAGAATTTCTATTTTATTTTATTGAATACTTCCCAAGGGAAACCATCACTGTTAAAAATGKTAGTTTTTTATGTGGTGATCACATCTTCACTTATTCTTTTGCATTAAAACCACAGCTCTTAAATGATCCCCCTCCTGTTCATCAGATTGGTGTTCTGTCATTTTAAGAAAATATTMTTTTAGCATGACCCCTCTTTATTGTGGTGGTCCTCAAGGCTAGTTTTTAAGTCCCATTCTTTTCTCATTATAAATGCGTCGGTTTGGTTTCATTTGCAGAAACTTTTTCGCAAGCAATCATTATTTTATTTATGATTCAGCTAACAAATATGTAACTGTTTAAGTTTTGGTAAACTCTCTGAAACATGCAAACTTGGATGGAGATAAACTTTTGTGGATGCAAAATTATATCAGGTTATGACTGATTGCAAAAGAACTTTTTTATATTTGTATACTTTGCATAGAAAGTGAGAAAATCTATATTTGGTTGATTGTTGTAACAATGCTTTTTGGCAATAAATCTTATACTATTAGAAAGCCTGTTATTTTCCCTTTTAAATGGAGCCACATTTGTAAGAAACGTATTTGTGGGATGAGCAGTAGAGCTGAGTATGTGGGTTGCATGCATGAAAAATTAGCCAAATACTCTTTGCCAAACAGTTTATTTTGCTGTTGCTTTTGACACTTGTTTTGAGATTCTGGTACCCCTCAGTGCTGCCAATCAGGTTCTTGGTATAAGATTTACTGTCAAGAAGCATTGTTACAACAAAGAGATAATCTACCAAACAATAATTTTCTTACTCATTGCTCTAAGTTTAGGAAAAGGTGTATTACAGCGACCTGCAAATAAAGACATTTCATTTTGACTGCCACATCCTAATTTCTTCATATCTTAACTTTGGAACTGGTTTGAGCAAGCACAGGCCATGAAACCTCTCTTCAGCAGATTCAGCAAAACAATTTAATCTGTACATTCTAATCCAGTGGTTCTTAACCTGGGTTC